ATATAAACTGTTTCCCACTTTATTTAGTCTCATACTGAGATAGTTATTTGCTGTGCTTGCTTGTTGCTATTAGGGTAATGATTACTTTAGTGCAGAAATCTATATTGGATGGTATTTATATTAAACTATTTTCATTTTGTGTAATTGAATGTTAAAGGAAATATTTTAGCATCTACTCTGTCTAGTTTATTTACTTGAGGTATTTTTCATACAGTGGACAATGCTAATATTTGATCATTTTTGTTTTGGTACTTTATTGCAACAAAATTTCTGAATAGTTACACAAGGATTGTGCATATACTGTATGTTTTATCACGATTACAAAGAGAAACTAACTTCATCCTGGATTATTCGTTTATCGCTACTGTTTAAAGAAAAACAAGTCGGTTCAGTTTTTGCCAAACAATGAAATCATTTAAAAAAATACAGTATTCCGGGTGGCGACAGGTCACAAAACGAGCACACCCAGCGGAGCGGAAGCAGACATCAGTGGGAGTGACAGGTGATTCAACCAACAGGCAGCTCGAAACAAGTCACGTGTCTAACACCGGAACGGGCGGAACATCCGCAATAGGAAGCTATAGGCTAATAACATGGCGAAGACTTACGATTACTTGTTTAAACTACTTTTAATCGGCGATTCGGGCGTCGGAAAGACCTGTGTTCTTTTCAGATTTTCAGAAGATGCCTTCAACTCAACGTTCATCTCCACTATAGGTGAGCAGAAGTCGTATTATCGCTGTTGCTTTGGTTGAAAAGCGGTAAGCCCAGCCCGTCATGCTATCTAGTTCTAAATGGCGAGTCAGGAAATGCACGACCGGTTTGTTAAGAAAGGTCTTTAGAAGACCTGCACTCGTGTTTTACTTGACAAAAAGTTTTTAAAGGACCACATATATGTCATTTTAAACACGTTGTTGGGATTTTATTCGTTTTAATCTACATTAACAAGGTAAACTGAGCCGCTAAAGCTAGTGCAAGTTAGTTGACGGTGTCATTTCCGATATGACCAGTTGGCCCGCACTTCACTTCAGACATTTTATAAAGTCTTTATTCGTCCCAAACGCCACCAACATGCTCCCAAATTCAACTATAAATATAATTGCCAAGGTGCTGCCGAAGTCGGTCTGTTTTTGCTGTTTTAAAGCAAATGATTAACGATGTAACCTTTATTTTTTTACCTTCAGGTATTGACTTCAAAATCAGAACGATAGAATTAGATGGAAAGAAGATCAAACTGCAAATATGGTAAGATGTGCTTTTTGTGACATTCATCTGAAACGTGTTCTTTACTCATCATCTTGTTTGCCCACCTATACGGTTAAAGAAATGTGACATCTTCATTCAACCTTTTGTTTATACAGGTTAGTTAGTTTATTGTCAGAGTAACCTGAAATGAAATGTATGTGTTCATGTAGGGATACAGCTGGACAGGAGAGGTTCAGGACCATCACAACAGCTTACTACAGAGGAGCTATGGTAAGCTACATCTGGCTGCTTTACAGATGAAATACAACTTGGTTTATTTCTTGAAACTAAGGTGTTTTTCTTCTCAGCATCTTATATCTTTACTAAAGCCACACTCTATTGTTGTAGTTGATGGTAACACTTGACATGCCTTGAAATCAGAAGCATTCAAAGTCAATTATGGTGGTGTTTTTGTTATCCTCAGTTCAAGTTTAACTGCAAGCCTGTTTTTGTTTGAATCCAGAAGCCGGCTTGTTACCTTTTAAATTCAAGGAGACACAAATCCTATAGCTTTCAGACAAATGAGATGAAAGTCTGACAAAGAACATACACTGATTTTAGACTTGTGAATCCATATTTAACTATATAATTAACAGTATGGTAATGCAAAGTGGTTCATAAATGACTTGAAGTTGCCATGGCGCTCTGTATTCTGTACTCTCCAGGGCATCATGTTAGTGTATGACATTACCAATGAGAAGTCCTTTGACAACATCAAGAACTGGATAAGGAATATAGAAGAGGTAAAACATGATTTTTAGTTCTGATCTTGTGAAAGAAACTTTGAGAGAGTACAAACGATTAAACGTATTTGATTACTGTAAATATGTGTTCATATTTTCTGCAGCACGCCTCAGCAGATGTAGAGAGGATGGTCCTTGGGAATAAATGTGATGTGAATGATAAGCGACAGGTGTCTAAAGAAAGAGGAGAGAAAGTAAGAACTGTAATTTCACGATCAAGTGTTGTTTTTTGTAATCTTTGCCCTGTCCCAATTCTGACTTTCATTCCCTCTGTCAGTTGGCCCTGGAGTACAGTATCAAGTTCATGGAGACAAGTGCAAAATCAAACATCAATGTGGAGAATGTGAGTTTTCACCTTTTCTACAAAATGTTTATTAATTTCTTGTTAAGGAACAGGATTGCCATATTTTTAGCTCTTAAAAAAGCCATGAAGTTGTTTCATGTTTTACAGTTTGGTGCAAGTATTAATAATAAAAATAAATACTAATAATACATCTCTTGTTATTTAAAGGAATTTCTGAACACCTTGTTTACCATCAGCCTCAAGTTGGTTAACTTGAATGGTACCTCTTTTTTGTGACTGGATGTAGTCACATGATATCTGTTTTCTTGTCTGAAGAAGCCTGCAGTTGCACTATTGAGCAGTTTTGTGCGTCACCTTAATAAAAAAAAGTTACAAATACAGTAGCTGAAAACAAAATGCTGCTGAAGCTAAACTGTAAAGCTTGTTATAATGATTGTTGTACAAAATGTGGTAAACAGCAGAGATGTTAAAAATAGTACTGATTTTTTTTTTTTTTTTGCCAAGCTCTTGTAAGAAAATGAATGTATACAGCGTTATAGCAACTACAGGGGAATTAAGTTTGTGAGTCACACCATGAAGATCTGGGAGAGAGTTGTTGAAGCTAGATTTAGACGAGAGGTGGCTATTTGTGAGCAGCAGTATCGTTTCATGCTGAGAAAGAGCACCACAGATGCCATCTTTGCTTTGAGGATGCTGATGGAGAAGTACAGAGAGGGTCAGAAAGAACTTCATTGTGTCTTTGTGCATTTAGAAAAAGCATATGACAGGGTGACAAGGGAGGAGGTGTGGTATTGCATGAGGAAATCTGGAGGGGCAGAGAAGTATGTTAGACTGGTACAGGACATGTATGAGGACAGCAGGACAGTGGTGAGATGTGCTGTAGGAGTGACAGATGGCTTCAAGGTTGAGGTGGAAGTGAATCAAGGATCAGCTCTGCGCCCCTTCTTTTTTGATCTGGTGATGGACGGACTAACGGATGACGTCAGGCAGGAATCCCCTTGGACTATGATGTTTGCAGATGACATTGTTATCTGTGGTGAGAGCAGGGAACAGGTGGAAGAGAACTTGGAGAGGTGGAGGTATGTACTTAAAAGAAGAGGAATGAAAGTCAATCATAGTAAGACAGAGTAGGTCTCAGTCTCTGATAGAGGACATTTGACTCCCATCACCCTTTGGAGCACAAGTTAGGAGTCATCAGGACTCTGTACCACAGAGCAGACAGCGTCCCCACTAACTCAGGAACCAGGCAGAAGGAGAAATCCCACACAAGACAGGCTCTGGAGCAATGTGGATATCCTAACTGGGCCTTCCTGAAAGCGGAGAAGAAACCCAAACAGGACTCCAGTCAGTCATCAGGTGAAAAGGAGGAACCCAGACCAGTGGTCATTCCGTATGTTGAGGGAGTATCAGAGAAACTGAGACGTTTATTTTCTAAACACAATGTCCCAGTGAATTTTAAACCCCAAAAATACATTACGGCAAAGACTGGTTCATCCCAAAGATCCAGTCCCTCGGCACAAACAGAGTAATATTGTGTATGCTGTTCAGTGTCAGGAGGGCTGTGATCAGTCTTACATTGGGGAAACTAAACAGCCACTGGCCAAAAGGATGGCCCAGCACAGAAGAGCAGCACCATCAGGCCAGGACTCTGCGGTTACACACATCTCCATGCCAGCGGTTACTCTTTCAGTGATGAAGATGTTCACATCCTGGATAGAGAGGAACGATGGTTTGAGAGAGGAGTAAAGGAGGCCATCTTTGTGAAAAGAAACCATCCATCATTAAACATGGGTGGAGGCCTCCGTGTTCAACTGTCCCCCACTTACAATGCTATTATTGCTAGTATCACTCAGCCCTCTGTGAATAGCAAACAGCCATCAGGGTGCTAACAATCCATCGTTAGATGGTCCTCCTTGATCACGTGAGCAGCTGGTTTTGCAGCAAAACTGGTTGATCCACTACGAGAAGGTGTTTTTTATAAGACTGAGCTGAATACAGCACCTCAGACTGAAGAAGTATTTCGGATGAAAGACGAAACGTTTCTAGTTTTTTTTTTTTGTTTTTTTTTTTGAATGTCCAGAGAACCAGACTTAACTTTTTTTTATTTTTCTACCTGGATTATTGAGCATGCATCAGGATACTTGGGGTCCACTGTCCAGGGAAATGGGGAGTGTGGTAAGGCATTGGAGAGCTGCAACAGAGCCTGTGCAGCAGTGGAAACCAAGTTCTCCCAGGCCAGAGGGGAGCCACTAGGAGGACTTGATGCCCCTGTTGAAGGACTCTCATGAGTGTTGGGCCTATCAGGGGACGCGGCGAAAAAGCATACAGCAGCACCCTGGGCCAGTCGTGTGCCAGTGCATCCTGACCCAGGGGACTGGCACTGCCTGCCAGAGAAAACCAAAGTGAGCAGTGTATCATTTCCTGAGATGCAAACAGGTCCATAGCTGCCTTGCCGTATCTCTCTCAATTTACCCTCACCACCTCCGGATGGAGCCTCCACTCCCCAGGTGGTGGGCATCCCGAGACAGAAAATCGTCCGGCCCATTCCGCACTCCTGGAATGTGGGCTGCCCTCAGGCTGGCAAAGAGGGGGGGTGCCCAAAGTAAGTGTTCTCGGTCAGTAGCAGCAATGTCAGCAACCATGTTCCCCCTTGATGGTTGACATGAAAAACCACAGAAGTATTGTCGGACCGCACCAGGACATGAAAAACCACAGAAGTATTGTTGGACTGCACCAGGACATGCTTTCTGCGCAGGCCCAGGAGGAAGTGTTTTAGTGCCGGCCGCACAGCGTCCAGCTCCAAGGCATTGTTGTGCCTTGCCTTTTGCTGTGGAAACCACGTTCCTTGGGCAATCTGTCGCTGCCACGATGCCCCCCAACATGTGGTGGATGCATCGGTACAAACAGCCTCCCTCCGAAACGGCAGAGAGCCCAGTGGGATCCCCTTCACCATAAACACTGCGTCTCGCCACTGAGCCAGTGACGCAAGGCATTGAAGGGACACCAGCAACCTCCTGCATCAGTGCACTGCATGAGTCGGATCCAGCCGCATGCTGTTAAGCCATATCTGTAGAGGGCGCAGAGACAACAGCCCCAGAGGTACCACTGTGGAGGCAGCAGTCAACTTGCCTAACAGGTGAAGGTACGCAATGAAGGGGGGTGCATGGCTGGGCAGGAAGGCAGGCAGCATCTGTAGAATCCCGCTGACACGCTGTGGCGACGGGCAAGCCACCATGGTGAGTGAGTTCATCGTAGTTCCCAGGAACGTGACCTCCTGAGAGGGAATTAGGTTACTCTTCTGCCAGTTCACACGAAGTCCCAATAGTTCTATGTGATCGAGCACCATCTGTGTGTCCGCTGCTGCCTGAGCTTATGTTGGCGCACAGATCAGCCAATCGTCCAAGTAGGGCAGGATCTTCAACCTGGAGAGACTGCCTGGAGCGCATCGCTGATGCTCAACATGTAGAAAAGAATAGTTTTTAAAAACACATTCAGGCCTCTCGGGTCCAGAATTGGCTGTAGTCCACCAGTCTTTTTGGGGACTAAAAAATACTTGGAGTAAAAGCCCCCTGGATCCCGCAGGGGGTCGACAGGCAATATAGCAGCCTTGGCCAGCAAGGCGTCTATTTCGTGGTTCAGTGCCTGAGCTTTCACCTGGTCACGAATGACCGTCATTCTGACCAGGAACGGGAGGGCGGCGGCAGAACTGTAGCACAAAGCCCCGAGATAGTGTTGACACAACCCAATAATCGGGCACAAGAATGGCCCCAGCGGTTGAGCTGAAATGGGGTAAAGTGTCCCACCGCCTGCTTCCAAATATCATTTTCGAGCTCCCCTGCCTTTAGGAGGGCGGGAGGGATGCCGGGAGGGCTGCCCGCGTTAAAGAGGGATGGGAGCCTGACCTCTGGGCAGAGCCCATTGGCTATGAGCAGGCCGCAGCTGCCCCACGGAGGGTGTAGGTGGGGCTGGATAAGTGCATGAGGACACAGAAGCACCTCCAGCAGGGTGCCGAGAGCGTCTGCAATAAAGGCCGTACAATTGCTTTCTGGTACGGGTGGCTTGGGCTGAACATTCCAAGGCTACAAGTGCAGCAGAACCAAACAGCTCCCCAGGAACCACCTGGCATTAGCCCTCAAAGCCTCATTCGGAGACACAATGAGGGACACTATGGCAGGTTCAACAGAAGGCATATGGCCCAAGCCAAACTTGAGCGCATCCTGCATGGCCGCCAGGGCCCTGCCATCTGCGGTCAGTCGTGAGAAAGCCTTAGTATCCATCCAGCAGGCATGTACATCCTTTATGTATTCAGCCGAAGGGGGAACCATAAAGGACGACCTAGCAGAAGGACATTTTAAATAAAGCACTGGAAGCAGTGGGTTGGCTCTTTGGGACATCCAGGTGCAACCGAGCAAGAGCAGTTCTCAAAGCACCCAGTATGGAACCGTCTCTGAGAGCAGGAGGAGGTGTGCGAACTGGCAGTCGACACACACAAGCCAGACTCAAACTGCTCTTGAAAATCGGTTCCAGATGCTGCCAGGGAGATGGCATCCTCTTCAAAAGCAGAGGCCCCTGAGCCCATGTTCTGTCCCAGGTCAGGGTTCCTAGTCAGACCTGTGTTGTCCCCTTCCCTCAGGGACTCGAGCAGCGCCTTCATCTGTTCCAGCTCAGAGGTGAGATGGGCCACCTGCCCAGATAGTCCCTCTGAGCCCCTGGAGCTTTTCTTGGTCCTCTTTCGTGGAGGTCCCAAGGCCTCTGGGGCCACACGCTTTACAGGCTGGTTCGCAATCTCAGAACCAGCCAAACGAGCTGTCCGCAGGGACAAGGGCAGAATAGAACAGTTGGGGCAGGCCGCTTCTGTCAAGGCCTCCTTCAGATGATCCGGCCCCAAACAAGGGGGTCACAGATCATGTCCATCCTCCAACTGGAGAGGGGCCAAACAGGCTCTGCAGTACTGTACATCCAGCATATTACGGCTCAAAGGACTAGAAGTATCAGGTCGAGCAGGAAACGCCACTCTTGGCGCTGGAGTCGATGAGCGAATGGACCAGGGAACCCAGTCGAGCAGAAAACGCCACCAGGGGTTCCCCAACTGCTAGCTTATAAAAGCAGTCAGAAGTGCTACGACTGCCGTAAAGCCACAGGTAAAAAATGCAACACGAACACAGTTGCGATTAAAGAAAGGGAAGCAAGCTGAACACGGCTCCACAACTCACGAAAAAAATGCGAGCACGAACACGGCTGCACTATAATGGGGAAAAAAATGCAAGTGTGAACAAGGCTGCACTATAATGAAAAAAGGCAAGCTGAACACGGCTGTAACTATGTAGATGAAAAAGCGAGCAGGCACGAAAATGGCTGCAATGTAACAAACGGCAAGCAGACGCAGCTGTACAATATGAGTGTGAGCTCGAACGGGTAAAAGTGGGCGAAGCCGAACACGGCCGCTACACCTGCAACTGAAAACAAGCAAGCACGAATGCGGCTGCAATGCCTTCTGTAAACTAAGGAGAAACGGCTAAACACCGTACTTCCAGCCAATAAGGAAACCCGATGCAGCTAGCGAACACGCTACCGCCGGGTCAACAGAAACAAAACAACTTACCAGTTGAAGTACAATCGTTTAGGAGGATACCAGCTTGTGCAGCCTCTGGAGGGCGAGACAGTCCCGCAGCTCTGACCGTAGGCTCGAGGCTACCAGCGTCGAGCAGAAAAAGTAAACCCCTTACCACCTGCATGCGAGAAGATGAAAGGGACTAGGCTACCATTGTCACGTGCTTATATATACTCACCAGTGTCCCAGGTGTCCCACGTGACTATGTTGGCATACATTCTCGACCTGCGCATGTGCAGGAATGATCATTCAGTGCTTTAAGCACCTCCTCTGGTGGTCAGTAGGGATGAAATAGAACTGGAAGTGGCAGAAATGAAGATTTTGAGGTTCTCCTTAAGAGTGACAAGGATGGATAAGATTAGGAATGAGATCATCAGAGGTACAGCACAGGTTGAACAACTGGGAGATAAAGTTAGAGGCCAGACTGAGATGGTTTGGGCATGTCCAGCGGAGGGACAGTGGATATACTGGTAGAATGATGTTAGAAATGCAGTTGCCAGGAAAAAAGACAAAAAGGAATATCAAAGAGGAGATGTATAGATGCAGTTAGAGTGGACATGGAGGTAGTTGGAGTGAGGATGCAGAGGACATAGTGAGATGGAGGAGGAGGACTCACTGTGGTGACCCCTGAAGAGGGAAAAGAAAGAAGATGAGGCCAAAGGGCATAAACACCCAAATCTACTCTCAAAATTGCTTCTTCTTATCTGACTCCAGTTTAGCTTTTAATTGTTTTAAAAATAATTTGTGACCAACAGTATGAGTAAACAGGAAGTTTCAAGGTATCTGTGATATCTGTTGCCTCAAGAAGCTAAACCTTGACCTTTGCCCTCAGAAACATTGTCCTTATATCGTTACTTCATATTAGTGGTCCACAAATGGTATTTAAATGTAATAATTATTAAACATATTGCCCCCATCTTAAATAGTACAAATGGATCTCTTCCAGATTTCCTTGCTCTTATATATATATATTTTCTGAATAAATAAGTTATTTGTAGTTGAAGCACTTTAACAGTAGTAAAGTTTTGTTTTTATGTAACAAAAACAATAAAAATGCCAGTTTAAAAGTAGACAAATGTACAAACTTCAATTGTTTACCTAAACATCAGTGAAGAAATTAAATCCTTATTTTTTTCCAAAAAAATATTAAAATTTTCTTGGTTTAAACAATTTGTTTACTTTGTTCCATTATGACAAAAATCTGGGTTTGCACATTATAAATTTCTGATCATTTACATTTTACACAATGTCCCGTCTTGTTCAGAGTTGGGAATGTACATGAATTCAAAAAGGTTCAAGGTTCAAGACAAAAATGCAAATTTGTAAATAAGGAAACTGAGAAAAGTCAAATGAACATGTTGACAGTTGCTCTTCCTAAAATCAGCGTAAACTTTTTCTGTCAGCAGGACATATTTCAAACTAATATCTAATCATGTTTAAAATTTTATATAAAAAAAGTTACAATGATTTTTAAAGTCAAGGCTGAAACTTAAATTTAATTACATGCATGGAGATTACATTTAAATTAAACATAGTTTAAGCTAAAACACGAGAGTCACAGTTTTATAGTTTATTTATACTTCAAAATAGGGATGCACAATATTATCGGCATGGTATCTATATCGGCCGAAATTAGCGATAAAGTTAAATATCGGACATCTGCCATCCCATCAATATAACTCACCGATATAAAAGGCGCTCTTTTTGTATGACAACCCAGTGACAAGGATGTCGGATATCAGCCAAAAAATCCAATATTGTGCTTTTTTCTTCAGCTCTTTATAAAGTAATACTGAGAGCATGACAAACTGATGGTAGTTAATTAATTGGGTTAAAATGACAACAATACACTTTATTTCTTGTAGATGTATTTTACAGTAATTTGTCACATTTTGCCAAGGCTGTTATCAGATTAGATCAGACCCAGATTAGATCAGACCCAGATTAGATCAGACCCTGACAGCAGATGTTTTCATTTGTATCTGCAGGCCTTCTTAACACTCGCCAGAGACATCAAAGCTAAGATGGACAAGAAACTGGTAAGTCTGCACAAGAGGAAATGCTGGCAGTTTCTTGACATCGATTTCAAGTCATGCTCAAAAATAACTTTTTGTTGCGTGCGGTTTAGTTTTAGTCATTTGAATAGTTTTGTTTTTGTATTTCAGGAGGGTAATAACCCACAGAGCAACACTCAGGCAGTGAAGATTTCAGAACAGCCCAAGAAGAACAGCTTCTTCCGTTGCACACTTCTGTGATGAATCAGGAGTGTCGGCATCCACCATCGCCTTAACTGTGTCCCCCACTGGACAGAACTGGACAGAGCACACTCTGATTTAAATATTTTATTCCTCGTCCCTTGTCTTCCTCCTCCTGATATTTGACCTGTGAATAATTAGGGAAACAAGTTTCTGTCCCCGCTCTGATTATATCAGTCTTCTTTTGTCACCTGTGGATCTAACTGCTGTGGCCTCTGTTACATTCTGACACTTTCAACTTGAACTTTATCCACTTTTGATGGCTGTCTCCTGGTGAGACACTGAAGGAGATCAAATCTTTGCTACCTATGTCATTATCTTTACAGATTGCTGATGGTGAAGTCTTATTTATTTAATTCTTTCCTAGCTTCCCAAACCCCAAATTCTGCTACAAGTTTGCACTGACAGGTTGATTTCAATATTTATTTTGCATCCACAAAATGTAAATGCATCAAAATTGTATTTCACCACATGCAAAAAGTGACTCCAGGGCATTTTATTCCTCGTGTTCAGTGAATTTACACGTCTTATTCATAATTTTCTTCTTTTCTGTTGGTATTTTTACTGGTTAAAATGTTCCAGTCCTCATTCAATCACTTTGATGTGCAATGTAACTTATCGAGCCTCTGGTTTGTCTTCAAGTATTCAGGTGGTTGCAGTAAGGCTGAGATTTTGAAGTGCACACATTCCTTCAGTGGTCGTCCTTGTTTGTTTTAGGTGTGCAGTCTAAACCGAATCGAGTCGTGCTTGTGGATAATGAGACGCTGCACTAAATCCTAGAGGAAATGCAGTTTGACAGAAGGAATCTCGGCGATGATTAAATCATTGTTTTATGTACTTGATCTGGTTCCAATGGGGGAACATATACGTAACTGTTTTCTGGGCCTTGGATTGGGGCTGTGCTGCGTCAGTATTTATGGAGTGAAATGAGGCATAACACCAAAATGACAAAGTGCCCTTTTTATGTTTTTATTGATTAAGCACTTTTCCCCCCTTCCCATTATTTTTTTTCTTTTTGTGTATGAAACAAAGTTCTTAACATATATTACTGTTTGTTTCGGGTATTAACTGAAAGCAAAAAAAAAAACCAAGAAGTTCCTTATACCGCGTCCTGAAAACATCCAAGCTGTGCGACGTCTTGACTTTTGTTTGCATATCAAATCAAACACCTAAATAACTTTAAAGTATTCCAATCTTGTCAAACCATTCCCACTTGCTGATTAAAGAATTTATTATTATTATTTGTTTTGCCAGCTTCTCTCCTATAATGTTTTTTTTTTGTTTCAGGCCCAGTATCATGGCTATCTGAACTATGCATTCTCAGTGCATGGAAAACCTCAGAATGCTTTGCACATGTGATTTAACGTGCTTTATTTGAGATTAGCAGCGTGCAGATTGTTCCTCTCACTCCCAGCTCTTGCAAAGAGCTATTCAGAAGTTAATAGGAAATGTATTTAAAAAATATCCTCTTAAAATCATGTCGAAATAGATTTTTTATTTCTCAAAGTAAATAAATTCTCATGATGCTAAAAAGTTAATCAAACCTGTGACATGTTTTATCCTGTGGACTGGAGACATCTTGGTTTATCGCTTGTTTTGCTGGTGCAACGATTTCTCCAGTTCACAAAGTTTACAGCATTTGGATAAAGAGCCATTCTCATTCCTTGTTAATCTGGCACTTCAGTGTGCATTTATCTTAAACATTCCTCAACAAACATGATCGGATTCCCTCTGAGATTAAAAGTCTTCATGTGGAATAAATTCAGCAATTGTAAATAAGATCTACAATGTTTGTACTGTAGTTTCATAATCCCTATTGATCTACACTTTTTGTAGATACATGTACTTCTGATTTATTAAAAAGATTCTTTGAAATGTACTTGTATTTTGCCTTAATGTTTGGTCCTTAATAATATATTGTAATGCTTGCTCAGTTTTTGGGTAATTTCTGCAGATTTTAAGGATCAAGGTGGCGTTTTCTTTGTTTTGAAGGTTATTTTATTCATAATAGGGCAGTTGGGAAAATGGGAAGGGACAGGTGTTAGGCTTTATTTTCTGTGAGTGTCAGATTTAAATTTTATTTTGATAAATTACGTAGTTGTTATGAGTTTAATCAGGTAGATAATGTGGTTTGAGCCTTCATCAGTAGTCCGGTTGTACCATTTTCAACTGGTTTGTGATACAAGTTTTACCCATGAATGAGGTCAGAGTGAACTAAACTATAACATTTGATTTGGTTTTAGACTAGGATTTTTAATTTTATTTGACCTGAGGTAGACGGTCTGTGTGGTCAAAGTTCATGCTCAATAATCCAGGTAAAAAAAGCCAATTATGGCAAGCCCTTTTAACATAAAATAGGATTCACCACGCTTACATTCCAGATATCTGAAACTGAGTTTTGACTAGACATATTGGTTATTTAAGATATCTTGAATTGCATTTTGACTAGTCAAAATACTTATTTAAGATATCTCTAATTACATTCTGACTAGTCATAATGACGTCAGATTTACCATTGAGTTGTATATAGCCAACCATGTTCATCAGGTGATCTGGACAGTTTCTGAGACGTTTCACCCTCCATCCGAAGGGCTTCATCAGTCCGAGGAGCCACAAACAAACTGATGAGTTTTGAGCTAACGTTTCTGAAAGATCCGTTCATAAAGAGGAACATTTTACTTGCCAATCATTTTCACTTATGAGGAAAACCCTTTTTAAATTATGTGACCTTTAAAGGGTAAACTGCAGGGTTGTTCTCACTACAGTTCACTACATTTGCCTGCAATTAAAAATAAAACTGAACTTTCTGAAAGGTCACACTGGATTGTTGACAGTGGTGCTTGAAAGTTTGTGAATCTCTTAGAATGTTCTATATTTCTGCATAAATGTGTTCTGAAACAACAGATTTTCATACAAGCCCTAAAAGAATCCAGTTAAACTAATGAGGCAAAAATATACTTGATCATTTATTTATTGAGGAAAAATGATCCAGTAATACATATTTGTGAGTGAAAAGAATGTGAACCTTTAGGATTAGCTGTTAATTTAAAGGTGAAATTAGAGTCAGGTGTTTTCAATCAGTGGGATGATGATCAGGTGTGAGTGGGCACCCTGTTTGATTTAAAGAACATGGATCTATCAAAGAATGGTTGTTTGTCTCGTTTGTCTCTGTGTGGCTCTGTGATGGACTTGCGACCCGTCCAGGGTGTACCCCGCCCCTCGCACAGTGATTACTGGACATGGGCACCGACGACCCCCGTGACCCAAAAATGGAATAAACGGGTAAAGAAAATGGATGGATGGATCTATCAAAGTCTCTTCACAACATGTTTGGTTAAAATTAAATCTCAGGAAGTCCAACATTTTACTGACCACATCAACTCTGTGGATAAATGCATCAAGTTCACAAGAGAAGATGTAAAAAATGGCAGGTTGTCTTTCTTGGACTGTGAGGTCTCAGTCTCTGATAGAGGACATTTGCAA